CATTTTTCTGCTCACCTCCACCACCACCTTCTCCTCCACCGCCACGTCCACCACTACAATCTCCGCCTCCACCATCACCACCACCTCCTCCGCCACCACCTCCTACTCTACCGCCACAATCTCCACCTCCTCCACCACCTCCCCTGCCACTACCACCAACTCCTCCTCCACCACCACTACCACCTCCTCCTCCTCCTCCGCCACCGCCACCACCTCATCCTCTACCACCACCACCACCTCCTCCTCCACCTCGACCACCACTACCTCCTCCTCTCCTACCTCCACCACCACCTCTACGATCTCTACCACCACCACCTCCTCCATATCCACTACCGCCACCGCCACCGCCACCTCCTTCTCCACGTCCACCACCACCATCTCTACGATCTCCACCACCACCACCACCACCACCACCACCTCCACGCCCACCACCACCTCCTCCTCCATGTCCACGTCCACGTCCACCTCCACGTCTACCACCGCCTCCATCTACATGTGTAGCGTGATCTTGACCGCAATATCTACCTAGCTATATGAAGTTGGACAAGCTTCCAATCTTCTCTACCATTATTACATTACAATCACAGTGGTTGTAATATTAACCTAGCTTATAATAAACTACAAATTTCCAACAATAAAACTCTTTTAAAAGTTTCCTTTACCAATACTCTAGTGGCAACAAGAAACCTGGAACATACGACTTCGTATCCTGGACATAAGTGGATGATGTTCCTAGCGTTGAAGATTGTTGTACATGAAATAAATTTACAAATATTATATCTAATCAGAGGTACTGTTCGTACATGTGTTGTAATCTATACATGCATTAAATAGTACCGATGTTTCTCCTTGGTTATTAAAGCGTTACATTTAGCTGCAAGATATTTATTTGGCTTCTACAACATATATGTGTAGACTTACCATTATTATTGACCTTGTATCTCATTAAGTATAATCGACACAAAGTGTCACTAATTATGGAATCCTTCAAAAAATAAAATAAAATCGAAGCCAGGATCTTCATATTAACTTTATGCGAAGCTCTAAATTGATCTTGTTATTCACAAGTTGTATGGAGAATTTCTATCACACAACTGCACAAGTCATAGTAAAACGTATTTAACGAAGAGTTTGATTAATTAGTACTAGATAACCAATTTA